CCTTGTGTAATTTAAGAGGTTACACCCTCAACCTACCAAGCCCCTCAACGACACACGCACTATCGACCCAACGTACGAGGGTCTTACTCGCTCAGTTGCTTGCTCTGCCCACACCAGTGGAGGGATTTTACAGCAGGATCGAACCAAATTAAAGGTTCTGCTGTAACACACTGCCGTCGCGCCTTATTTAGCCTCGCAAGCCGGCCGCCGCCGCGACTACGCACGCGTGCGCACGCTGCATATGTGACCAAGCAGTGACTCCTGCTAACCAATTGCCCTACGCGCAAGGCGGAGCCTTGCACCGCGCTTGTTTAACACAAAGCTATGCGCAAGTTTACATCTGCCCTTGTTACCATACGATGACATTCAACCATACGATGACAGGCGACGCGACGCACGACAGCACGACGCGACGCTTTGTCGACTGGACGCCACGGCACGATACGCCGGCAAGACGAGCCGGCACGACACGACGCCAAGACGGCACGACACCATGCATTCAACACAACATTAAAGTAAAGAGAAAGGAGGCGACGCCATGACACGACGGGACGACGCGACGGAGCCGTCGTAGCGTCGCGTCATGGCGACTATAGAACACCATTATATTGTAACAAAGATGTGTGGCTCTTCGTAAAAACGAAAATCCACTAATCGACTTTTCTACTTTTGATGTCATTACGTTGCATGTGTACGAGGGGCAGTAAGATTTGTGTCCTTTCGTGAAAGCCAAATTCCACTTATCGAGATTTTGGCCCTTTACAACACGAATGTAACTGAAATTGAAAACAAAACGACTTTTGACATGTGTGGCTCTTCGTGGATGGAAACCGTGACGATTATATCCACGAGCTATATATGTAATACAGCCATCATTAAGAGTTTTCGCTGCTTGTGCAAACATTGAAATCCAAACTGTAGTATATTTGGAGTAATTTTAAGATGATGTATATTTGTATGTAAGTAAACCTCGAAATTGTTTTAATGTAAAATTTAATTTGGACATTATTATATATATTTATTTACATGTAAAATTTCCCAAGCATTTGTATCCTTGTCATATATCAGCTCACGTGTCTTCCAACAATGTTATTCATCCTAATTTACATTTGTAGGAGTAAATGTATTTCAGCGGCAACATCAAACGTGTATTAGACAATTCTTAAAAATACTCCAAATGGTCAACAACAGCTGCATGCCTAACCATGGCGGCATCCGAGCAACTCAAATCGCAGATCCGTCCAGTTATGCCATTCAGTCGGTTCAATGCGTACTGTTGTGGCCACCACACCTTCACTAAACAGGTTGGTCACAGGGGTGTTTCGGTCAGTGTTACCGGTGAACACCTGCAACAACAAATCAATCGATCGATCGGTCGGTCAATGTACGTGGTCCTGTAAGATAGCCCCTTTCTCTTAAAGTCATTTTCCTGCTGATTTTCTTTCCATTGAAACTTGGTAGAAAATGCTAACCTTCATACACACGATGCGTTGGTGCAGTTGTGTACGAGGTGGCTTCATCAGAGCGGGAGTCACAATAAAGAGACTCCTGACTGCTTCAAAAGGTGACGAAAATTAATTTTGTGAAATATCATCTGAGTTTGTTTTTTCAGTTTATAGCATGTAGGTTTCCAGATTTTTTAGTAGTTGAAGTCTTTGTTGCAAATGGCCGTTGCGGTGTTCCGCCAAGGCCATTTTTGCGCATGCGTGCATCATTATGAATTTATCGGCGAAAAATTCCACTGCGAAGTAGGGAAATTACTGCGTTCATTATCAACCAGCAACTACAAGGTATCACATTTTATACGCACCACGATGTTCCCGTTTCTATCTTTGACATGTGTACGCTCAGATGAAGGCTGTTTTTGATAGGACACCTTGTACTTCGTCATCCACCAATCGCCACCCGGATCTCCTTGGGTAATGACTCCAGACACCACTGTCCTTTCACCGAGATCCACCTCAATCCACTGATTACTACCGTTCATTCTGCAGACAATAAAATCCCATAAAGATCGGTGAAATAACAGCAAATCGTAAACAAACTATGTTAATTGAGGGTTAACAAAAAAGCACAGATAACTGCAACTCTTCCACTTATGTAAGGGCATGGATCGAGGGAGAGATCATACATATTCAGTAGGCCAAATTTTTGTCCGGCTTTCTGACCGCGGAAATCTCGTTGGCCTTGCCCGATTTTTTATTTATTCTACTGTTTCTGCACTGATAACATGAAAGTGAAGAAATGAGGAAAAGTCATTGAAAAGGGACACGTAAGATGTCCTGCGGTGTTTAACCCTCGGGGAGTGGTTGAATGTGATCCACTGATATTATTGAATACTTTCGACAAAAAGCATCAAAGTTCGTGGTGATCTTCCATAGGTTAGCTTTGGCTAGTTCAGAAACTGTCAGCATCGTAAAAGGCCGCCTCACAATCTCCAGTGGCTTGACCCAAACAAGGGTGTTCCGGGTACAGGTTTTATACGTCCGTGATATGGGTGTGTCGTTTCCCACTAATACTTACGTGGCGGTTGACCATGCGCTATCGCCATTGAGGCGTGCGGCCTGGGGAGGCCAGCCCCCATACATACTGGACGCCGAGATGTTTGCGTCGGGGATGGACCCGTCCTCCATCCCTAGCGGCCTTGGGTTCGCACACTCGACTCTCTCTGTGGGAAAATGGGGAGAATAGGATCACCATTTGTAAAAGACTGTTTAGGAATACACTTGAGATTAAACGTGTACTCAATAAACAGAAATTACAGTAACACAAGGAGAGAGAGAGAGCAGTTTAAGTGGAGCTAATCGACCCCCAAATAAGGCGGTTTGAGGC